GATTTGCATACAGCTAATTGGATCCCGAAAATTCAATCAGATCGGGATCAAATTTTTTCGAATTATTAAATCTTCATTCGGAAGTTTTGCTCGAGCAATTGAAAAGTTTCCGGCCAGTTGAGTTCTTCGTGTGTGCGTGCGTGCGTGCGTGCGTGCGTGCGTGCGTGCGTGTGCGTACGTGTGTGTGTATGTGTGTGTGCGCGTATGTGTATTAAGTTTCGGCTCGGTTTCTGTTGATCCAAGTAAGTCTCCCTCTCAGTCGGAACCCCTTGTACATATTTGTTGTCACTAATAACGAGGTTTCCTAGCAAATTTCGAGGTCTTATTTAACTTTGTCGAAGTTGGCGTGACGTAGCTTACACTGGTTTTCGTTTATTTATTAAAGTTTGAAACCCGGTCTCTCTCTCTCTCTCTCTCTCTCTCTCTCTCTCTCTCTCTCTCTCTTTCTCTTTCTCTTTTTCTCTTCTTTCGAACGAAGTTGTGACCCAATGAAATAAAATTTTTCATACTACATCAGTGGACAATAGTTTAGCAATGTTTACAGCACGTATGAAAGTAAGTAACGTTGGAAGAGTTAATTTTCGACAGGGAAATGCTATATATTTACATCTTGCTTTTAAAGTGCATTGTAAAATCAACTCACAAGTCTCTGTCTTTTCAAGGCAATGCAACCGAATGCGGATTACAATTGTGCCATGTCGTGGATGTTTCTTCACGCTCTCGGCAAAACTGTGCGAGATATTACTGTCATTTTGCCAGGTCCGAATCCCTGTCGGCGAAAATTTTATAATTCGTCAAATTTGCTTTGCTTTGCCAAGTAGACGTTAATTGACGCGACGATTCTCAATTCGCTATCCAAGTCGCAAATCGAGCGATACGGTCGCAAGAAATTTCCTTGCTATGACATGAAGCATGATTTCCATTTTAATTGTAAAAGAATATTGAGGCTCTATACGTTCAAGCATTTGCACTTTTAATCAAGGAATGTGTTTTAAAGTTTGTCACAAGAATCTATCACGAGACATCACGCTGTGCTCCTGGAAAACTTTCTGTACTATTTCCGGAGATTTCAAAAAGAAAATCCGTCGGAGAGAGAGATATAAGGTAGAAAATGTTATATAATCAACAGGTTATAAATTTAGACACTGAGGAAAAATCTTCTTGAGGACGTTAAAACGTCGCATCCGGCGCAAACGAGAAGGGACAAAGCGGAGTCACTTTTCTTACGTCGCCTTTAAGTAAACCATCCCTCGCACGAGCGGAGGAACAATTTCGCGCGGAAAATAATAATACGGACAGAGGGGAGAAATGTCTTACGCTTTTTTTCGCCGCGCGCAATTTTGTCTCGCTCTTATCGAGGACTTGGCAAGGCAAAGCCGTGATGTTCGTATATTGTGACGGTCAAAATTTTACGATATTAATTTTCCAACAAGACAGACGCAAAGTCACAACGTTTAAAAATCAAAAGAGAGTACCATGAGAATCACAGAGAGAGAGAGAGAGAGAGAGAGAGAGAGAGAGAGGGAGAGAGAGAGGGGGGGTGAAAGGGAGAGAGAGCGAGCGAGACGAAATATCGTTTCGCTTTCGAAATATCGTATCGAAAAAAACGTTTCGAGAAATTATGGACACATTGTGAGGTTTCGGCAGTCACTGTATAAACTCGTGCGAAACTCGTAATAGGGATAAATGTCTCAAAGGCAGGAACATGTAGGTGGTTACGCACCCACGGAAATAGAGGGTGAGGAAAGGAGTCAGAGTTGGGCAAGGTGTAGTTGGATCAGTGGTCGTTGAGTGATCAGATTGGCGATCAACGATTATCGTTCAGTGATCAGTAATCAGACGATTGATGAACAGTGGAAATAATCGAGGTCAAAATGATCATCAGTCACGATGAAACTGTCGACCATTAGTCAGAAAGCGACTACGTTTTTTACTATGTATGATTGATTCTCCAAATTAACATATTACTTTATTGCAACTTTGATATAGATTGCGATAAGTAATTAACGGATATAAATCAACGGTGACAGATTTGCGAATGTAATTTATGATTTTAACGATCGCCTGCAGCTACGATCGTTTAATTAATGTTTACTTTAATCGGGAGATTACTTGATTAACCGGCCACTGAAATAATCGCGAAAATAATCCATTACTATTGCCTAACGCTGGAAAGAGTGGGAAACAAGGTAGATGATGAGTACAGAATACAAAGAGAAAAGAGGCGGATTAATTGGAAATAGAAATATGTGTCTAAGGAGGGGGAGAGAGAGAGTGAGTGAGAGAGAGAGAGAGAGAGAGAGAGAGAGAGAGAGAGAGAGAGAGAGAGAGAGAGAGAGAGAGAGAGAGAGAGAGAGAGTGAGAGAGTGAGAGAGAGAGAGAGAGAGAGAGAGAGAGAGAGAGAGAGAGAGAGAGAGAGAGAGAGAGAAAGAGAGAGAGAGAGAGAAAGATAAAAGAGACGATCGGCTGTCACGCATGCTGACAGCTGCATGGAAATCAG